GTCTCACTGCTGTGTGGGGAGGACTAAGTGATCCTGTCTCCATGGCCAAGATGGGCTTGGAAAGGGCACAGAGAAACAGACACAGACAAGGGAGGTAGACCCGGGGCCAGGCCCCGTGGCTAAGCTAAGACACATGGCTTGGTGAGCTTCTGCTGCACACTGAGGGTGCATGCCCTTGTGCAGTGAACACACTGCACAACCGTGCTGTGCCTGGCAGCCATGATAGAGGAAAGGAAGAAGAGGGGCGCCTGGGTGGCTCAGTCGGTTGAGCGTCTGCCTTCGGCTCGGGTCATGATCCCAGGGTCCTGGGATCGAGCCCCGCGTCGGGCTCCTTGCTCGGCAGAGAGCCTGCTTCTCCCTCTCCCTCTGCCTGCCTGCCGCTCCCCCCGCTTGTGCTCTCTCTCTCTATCTCCCTCTCTCTGTGTCAAATAAATAAAATCTTAAAAAAAAAAAAAAAAGGAAAGGAAGGAGAGAGGCAGAAAGACACAGACCAAGAAACTGATGGAGGAAGACAAAAAAGGCAGAAAGCAGAGAGGTTTTTTTAAGGGCTTTATTTATTCTTATTTACCTGAGAGAGAGAAGAGGGGCGGAGGAGGGAGAAAGCACCCGAGGCTGACTGCGCTGAGCGGGAGCCTAACATAGGGCTCAAGCTCACACCCGTGAGATGATGACCTGAGCCCAGTTGGATGCTCCACCGACTGAGCGCCCCAGTTGCCGGAAAGCAGAGAGTTTTTGATGAGGAACCAAACAAAAACAAAGAGAAGAGGCCAAGAGCCTAGAACCTGGGGGATTCTGTCTCTGCCCCCGCACTCTGCAGAGCGGCTTCTGGTCTGAGGCTCTGCTCCAGGGTGGTTACCGGCCCTAGCGGTTCAGCCCCCACTGTACCCCGCGAGCTGTGGGGGCCACTCTCCCATTTTACAGAGGGGCAATCGAGGCTTACAGGGCACAGGTGACATGCCTGAGGTCACACAGCTTGTAAGTACTAGGACCTCTGGACTCTGCGACAGGAGGGGGACACAGAGAGATGGGAGGAGGGGCCGGGGGCGCCAGGGGTTGGTGTTCAGGTTGGGGGCTGGGGGCAGCAGAAGCCAGGCGTCCTGTCTCAGCAACCCACTTTGGCTTGAAGATGTACCTGGCGGGCAGCCCATCGTTCTGAGGGATCAGGTTTTGTGGGGGGCTGGCCCCCTCCCACCCCCATTTCCCTTCTCTGTGTCAGCAGCTAAGGCCCCATTCCCGGATCATCCTGGGGGTTCTTCAGAAAAAAACAAGAAACAGCTTTTCTTGGAATTAATACCCAAAGGGTATGACAGTGCCAAGGGCAGTGGGGATGGGGATGGGGTGCAGGAGGTGGGGAGATGCGAATGTGAATTGAGCACGTTGGGGATCCTGCAGCACTTCATCTGTATTAACTCCTGTATTGATGTGCAGGACAGCTCTGCTGCAAGCACCCCCTTTTACAGAGGGGGGTACTGAGAACTGTGATTCGTTGCCCAGCTCAGAGGCTGTCCTCCACGGTCCCCACTCCCAGAGAAGAGTTGGGGAGGGGAGCCGGCGGGGAAGGCCCTCCTGCTCTCTGCCTCCTACCAAAACGATGATCACCTCCTGTCCACCAGGAGCTCTGCCCCCTCCCAAAGACCCAGACTCCTTTCCCTCCTGCTAAGGGGGCTGGGGCAGCGGAAGAACAGGGGCTCCCCACGGGAGGGAATCAGGCTGAGCGGAAGAAGGGCTGGGGCCGGCTGCGTGTGGGCCTGGAGGCCCCCGGGGCAGGGCTGGGGGAGGCCGTGCTCCCCTCGGGCCTGGCGACTCGGGCCCTGGCCAGGGGCCCAGCTGCCTTGCATCGCGAGGTGGAGGAGAGAAGCCCTACTCATTCCTGACTGCAAACATATCCCCGTTCCCACGCCTCTGGTGTGTTCTGTGGCGGCCCCCCCTTCTTCTGTCCGCCCCCTCCCGACTCCCCCTCTGCATAACTGAGACTCTTACAGAGAGATGCAAAGCCCCTGGGATTCCCCGCCTGCGCTGCACTGATGGGAACCACCGGGAGCCTGTGCCAGCAGTCTGGGTTTTGATCCCAGCGGGCTGTGTGGCCCGGGGCCGGGTGCTTCCTCCTGCGGGTGCCCTCACCTGTCAAACAGTGCTGCCTCCCGAGGGGGCCGGCGGGCAGCCTGACATGAGACCTGGGAAACGGCGCAGCTCCCCACTTTTCTCCACACAGTAAAGGTTGCCTGGGCTACCCGAGCGTTCTTGGGAGGGAAGGTGTCAGGCAGGAGCCTACGGTGAGGGGGATTGGGGGGGCGCCCTCCGTGAGTGCGGGTTGGGAGCCAGAGCTGCTGATTTAAAACCCGGGAGGTGGGGGGGGGCGGGAGGGAGTGTAGGCACGTGGGCCCCGGTGCTGATGGGCCTGGGGGTGTTGGGGAGGGACAGGACCAGGGCCTCAGGTTGCCCAGCCCGTAGGGGACAAAGTCTCAGATGGAGACAAGCTGGGGGGCCAGGCTGGGGCTCTGGGCTCCTGGTCTGGCCTGGGGTCCCCCTCCTCAGGGGCTGAGGTCGGCCAGGCCAAACACTGCCCCTCCCTGCCGGGATCCTCATCCCACCTCTGCGCCTCTCCCCTCCCTGCGGACCACCCACTGGGCTCACCAACCGCACTTCCAGCCCTCCTCCTGACCCACTGGGCCCCCTGTGTACTCTGGGAGCCCAAGGCCCTTTGGGAAAGGAGAATCTCCCCACCCTTCCAGCCCCTGATCACCCGTTATCAAGGTCAACCCTGGGATGGGGGGTTGGAGCCCTCCTCACGCTCCCCTGCCCACCTCCTGAAGCCCCCAGGTGAACCATTTCCTCTAGACGTACGTTGGTTTGGGGGGCAGTGACTGGTGGGAGGGGCTGATGTGAAGGGCCCTGGCCCTGCCTCAGGTCCTTCCTGCTGTGGGGTGTGTGCCCCCCCCCAGCCTCACGCTCTGGGGACATGGGTCCAGGAGAGGGGGGCACTGGGTGGCGATCTGGATCTGGATCCCTTCAGACCGAGCCCCAGTCTGAGGACAGCTGGGGGCCAGGCAGAGGGCAGTGTGAAGACAGGGTGGGGGCGGGAGGTGTGTGAAGGCTCAGGATCCTGCCGGGTTGCAGCCAGGGGAGGCCCCGCGGGGACAAGGTCACCTGGGAGCCCACAGGGTGGGCCCTGGAGGCAGGCCTGGACCTGGGAAGGTGGCCCATGCAGGGCAGGGGTGGAGGGAGTAGTTTGGGGATGGTGGCAAGAGGAGCCAAGTGTGTTTGGGAGGGGGGTGGGGGGATGCCCCGGGGACAGACACTCATGACTGAGGCCTGGCTCTCTGAGGACGGGCTGAGTCTCCCCCTCACCCCTTCAGAGGGGGGCCTGGGTGCTCAGCTCCGGAGACAAGCCGCTGGCCCTGCCCCCTGCATCCACCCTCTGAGTTCAGGGTTGGGGAGCAGGGAGCCCATGACCCCGCTCCCTGCTGCCCTCCCCCACACATGCACACACCAGCCAGGCTCGATTTCCTGTTTTCAGGCTCCATATCCTGAGCGCTGGGATCCCCCAGGACACTGCCAGGCCCCCCAGGCCCTACCCCTGGCTCCTCCGAGTTTCTCAGGTCACAGGGTGCCTGGTGAGTGCCCCGAGGACTGAGGGTGGGGGAGGAGCACCAAGGAGGCCAGTGGTGGACGTGTGCCCTGGGGGAGCTGTGACAGGGCCACCGGTCATCCCGCAGGGGGGCAGCCCCTGGGCCAGCCGCTGGGAGGTGGCGGAGACAGCGGGCGGCATCCCTGGGGCTGCAGCAGAGGGTGACATGGGGTCAAGTCAGGGCGCATCTCTCTCCCTCAACTTGGAGGGCTGAGAGTGGCTTGGGGGCCCTGGGAGTGTGTGGGTGGGGGGCGTGGGGTGGGGCCAGGCAGCAGGCATTCCAGAGATACTCACGGGGGAAGGGGCCAGCAGCCGTGACCTTTCTCTCTTCTCGGGGAAAATTGTAAGCAGATGTGGGCGCCTCAGGGAGACAGGGAGCCAGGAGGCAGGGCAAGTTTTAGGAGCACGGATCCGACTGCGGGGGTGGGTACTCGGGAGCTCGGCCCCTCCTGAGCCCCGCTGAGGTCCTGACCGGCTCCCCGCCCGCCCGGGCGCGGCCAGGGTGGAGGAGGAGGCTGAGAGGAGCTGCTTCCAGATGGCTGAGGGGGTGGCCAGAGGGAGCTGGGGACCGCTTGCATCTGAGGCCGGCCTAGGGGCCGTAGCCCTGGGACTTGGGGGCAGTGGTGCGCTGCTGGTGGGGTGGGGATGGGGTTGTCCCTGGTTTGTGGTGTTTGGCGGTGTCCCTGGTGTCAATAATCCCCCCGAGCGAGCGTGATTTCAGGCTCCTAATGTGTCCTCTCTGGCTGGGCACCGTTGGCTCCTGGAAGGCCGTGGAGACGCACCGGACACCAGTGGTTAGGAGGGGCCTCCTGCAAGGTCTCCCGGACCGGCCCTACTCCCAGCCATTTAGCCGCCGGCCCCCAGCTGCATCAGAGGGGTTTTGGCCTCCGCCTGCATGCATGCAGTGACAGGAAGCTCCCCTTCGAGTGGCAGATTCCATGACAGGCTGCTGTGCCTGGGAATTCTTCCTCCAGCTGAGCCCTGGTGGGCCTCCTGCATGACTTCCCTGCTGGCTCCAGCTTCCCACCGCCACACCAGCGTCCCGGTGCCCTGGGCAGGGGCTGGCCGGGGCTCAGAGATCCAGGGCAGGAGCCCCGCCTCTAGAGGCCCTGGGCCCTGTGTGAGTGAATGGTCCTGGGAGGGGTGGGGGCGGTCTGCAGAGAAGGAGAGGCGTCACTTCGGAGAGACTCTAAGAGGTGAGGACTCAGGAGAAGAACGGAGGGAGGACGGCCAGGCAGAGGGAACAGCCACCTGGTCAGGGATGCGACCTTGGGAAGCAGAGCCCTCCCATGGCAGCAGCCGCGTGCACGCCCCCTTCCGGTCCCTGCAGATACTCGGTGGCCCCGCACCTGCCCCAGCGCCTGGCCTCGCAATGCTGCCCCCTCTGCGCTCCCTCCTTCTGGCCCTGGGCCTGGGCCTGGCTGGAGCCCTCAACCCCAACGACCCCAACACCTGCAGCTTCTGGGAAAGGTGAGGGGCCCTTGCTGCTTCCCCAGCTCCCCTACTGTCTGTGGGGTCTCCTCTCCTCTTTCCCCGCCTCCCTGCCTCTCCCAGCCCCCCCATCCCTCCTGATTCTGTCCCTGCTCTCTCCCCTGCACGGGCTACCTCTGACCCTGTCCCTTCCTCATCCCCGTCCCCTGGTCCCTGGGGGAAGCTGGCTGCAGGACAGAGCGCAGGGTGGGAGCCATTCACTATGGAGCAAGCAGGGGGGCTGGCCCCGGGGGAGCAAAGGGGACAGGGTTGGGGAACGAGGCCCAGGTTGGGGTTTGGCCAGAAATGCTTCACCCATCTCCATCAGCTGGGCCCAGAAATCAGTTCTAGCTCCATCTCCCCGGTAGGGAGGAGGAGGAGGGAGAAATGGAATGCTCTGGTCCAACAGGGCGAGGAGGGGGCAATGATGGGGGGTGTCCCAGGAATATTCCAACTCTGGGAGGACCCCTCCAGATGGAGGGGGCCAGGATAGGGGTTCCTCCTAGGCTTGGGGGAGCAAACCCCCAAGTTGGAGCAGCATCCCCCAGCATGGCCAAGCCCTCATACCTCTGCTTCCGGAGTGCCCTGTGGCAGCCAGGCCTCCCCCCAACACTGAGCCCTGGCCCCAACCCTGTCCTGCAGCTTCACCATCACCACCAAGGAGTCCCACTCCCGCCCCTTCAGCCTGCTCCCCTCGGAGCCCTGCGACCGGCCCTGGGAGAGCCCCCACAGCTGCCCCCAGCCCACGTGAGTGCCCACCCACCCCCCTGCCGTGCGCCAAGTGCTGCCTCAACGGGCCCTGGGCCTCCACACCCTCATTCTCTTCTCGGAAACTTTGGAGTGCCGAGGAAGCACTCAAGGGGTGGTGGTGGGGGGCTTGTGTGGGCGTGTGTGCACCCGTGGCATATTTTGTGTGTGTGTGTGTGTGTGTGTGTGTGGTTGGGGGGCAGTGAGGGAATGCTCCTTTTGTGCCCCCCACCCCTGCCTGGAGTGGTGAGCCATGCCCGGATTCCCCAGTGCCACATGGTGGTGCCACACGGCGGTGGGGGTGGCCGGCCTCAGCAGGGGGCACTGAGGGCCACCTTCGGGGTCCCCTAGGGTCATCTACAGGCCGGTGTACCGCCAGGTGGTGAGGACAGAGCACCGGAAGCGTCTGCGGTGCTGTGTGGGCTTCTACGAGAGCCGGGGCACCTGTGTCCGTGAGTCCGGGTGGGGCCAGGGAGGGGGAGAGGGAGGGCCCAGCCCCCGCTTCTCTGCCCGCTCCGGGCTTGTCCTCCCCGCCTCCCCCAGCAGCTGCCACTAGCCACCTCTGTCCTGGCTGACCCCATGTTTCTCCCTCCGCTTCTCTCCCTGTGTTGGAGCATCTCTGTCTCTGTCTGTCTCGGGGCTGCCTTCGTGTCTCTGTGTCACGAGGAGTTTCTGTCTCTTCCCATCCCTGTCTCTGTTGCTGTCTTTGACTTGTCACTGCCCAGGCTCTCCTGCCCGGCCCCCCCACGCCCCAAAACCCCCGACAGGAGCCTTCTCTGCCTCTCCCCCCCTTCCTTCATCCCCTAGAGACTCCCACCCAGCCTGACCCACTTCCCGCCGGCTCTCTGCACAGGGCCAAGTCTGGTCCTGCCCGAGGAGCCCCTCTCTGTTTTCCCAATTTGGTGCTTGGAGAATGTCACACCGAGGGGCTGGGGAGCCTGGAACTCTGAGCCTTTGTCAAGTTCTGGCCTGAGTTGCTGGTCCTGTCTTCTGTGGCCACTTCTTTGAGGCAGAAGTGCTGCTCCGGGAGGGCCAGGCCTCCAGGGTCCGGCTTCGGAGGAGGAAAGGTGGGTAGGGGCAGGGGAAGCACCTCTCACTCCCTCCATCTCCGCCCCAGCTCTCTGCGCCCAGGAGTGTGTCCACGGCCACTGTGTGGCTCCCGATCGGTGCCAGTGCGTGCAGGGCTGGCGGGGCAGCGACTGCTCCAGCGGTGAGTGCGGGGCGGCTACAGGGCCATGGGACTGGGGCTGCACCCTCCTGACCACGCACAGGTGTTTAGTCCCCTAGGACAGGTGCCCCAAGAGCCCCACAGCAGCCAGCTGCCTTTTCTGAGGTGTGGCACCGGGCACGGGTGTGGGGGGCGGGCTGGGACACAGAGCTGGGGACTGAATGGACGTTAGGGAGGGGGAGACCCCCGGTGACCCCCTTCTTCCCTCCTCATCCCACAGCTTGTGCCCCAGGCATGTGGGGGCCTCAGTGTGACAGGCCCTGCCACTGCGGGAACAACAGCTCCTGTGACCCCAAGAGTGGAGCCTGCTTCTGCCCCTCCGGCCTGCAGCCCCCACGCTGCCTCCAGCCCTGCCCCTCTGGCCAGTACGGTCCTGCCTGTCAGTTACCCTGCCAGTGCCATGGAGCACCCTGTGACCCTCAGACCGGAGCCTGCTTCTGCCCCCCAGAGAGAACGGGACCCAGGTGCATAACGGGGTCGCAGACACAGGGCCACATGGACACATGTGGGGATATGAGGGGACTCGGACTTGGTCCCAAATGGGGCAGAACGGAGAGGCTGAGGTCCTTGTCCCAGCCCTCCCACTGGCGAGTTGAGCAACCTTGAGCCAATCGAGTCTTCATGAGCTGTTCCCTGTCTGTAAGATGGCAACAGTATTGTCCACCTGGAAGGCTCGCTGTGCAGATGAGCCTGCATGTGTGTGAGCGGGGGTCGCAAAGTGGGGCTGACACGGTCCCAGAGAAGCCCGTCGTAAGGAGGTGCGGGGCCAAGCAGGGGGGGGAGATGCACTAGGTAGAGCTGCACCAGGCCTCACAGAGCAGCTCCAGAGGGGAGCCCTCTGGGGCAGAAAAACTGGCAGGCAGTTGCACCCCTTCCCCCCGCAACAGCAGGAGCAGAGTGGAAGGGGCACACCCCTATCTGGGGTGCTGTCTGTCCCCACCGTTTCTGGTCCCAGAAACCTTTGCTTTCTGACTCCTCCTGTCCCTGACAGGGAAGGCGGGTGGCACCCGACAACTGGGTGCCACACTGAGCCCTGAGGTCAGGATTTGCTCCTCAGGGAGCCAGGGGGCAGGGGGCCAGCACTTGGAGGCAAAGGGGAGGCGGGTGCTGCTGGCGCCCACCCTGACCTCGCCGCTTTGCCCAGCAGCTGTGAGATGTCCTGTCTCCCCGGCATCGTTGGCTTCTGCCCCAGCACCTATCCTTGCCACAACGGGGGTGTCTACCAGGCCTCCCAGGGCTCCTGCAGCTGCCCACCTGGTTGGATGGTAGGAAGGGTGGGGCCTGAGCCGATGGGGTGCTTCTCTGAGGGATTGGGAGGAGGATGTGTGTGAAGGGGGTGGGCTCTGCGGACCTGCAAGGGTTTGAGGTATGGGGGTATCAAGGGGTCCTGTGCCCATGGGGAGGGGCTGTCCATTTTCCACCTCTCCAGGGCACCATCTGCTCCCTGCCCTGCCCAGAGGGCTTCCATGGACCCAACTGCTCCCAGGAGTGCCACTGTCACAATGGTGGCCTCTGTGACCGATTCACTGGCCAGTGTCGCTGCGCTCCGGGCTACACGGGGGATCGGTGAGTGGCTTTGGCGAGGGCGGGAGCGGCGAGGGGGTGGGCGCCGCCCGGCTCACTGGCCAGGCCTCCAGGTGCCGTGAGGAGTGCCCCGTGGGCCGCTTCGGCCAGGACTGTGCCGAGACGTGCGACTGCGCCCAGGGCGCGCGCTGCTTCCCGGCCAATGGCGCGTGTCTGTGCGAACACGGCTTCACCGGGGACCGCTGCACCGAGCGCCTCTGCCCCGACGGCCTCTACGGCCTCAGCTGCCAGGAGCCCTGCACCTGTGACCCAGAGCACAGCCTCAGGTGTGCCGCGGGAGCGCGCTCAAGGGTCAGACGCCAATGGGAGAGGACTTGGGTGCTGAAGCCGCGGACAGATGTCACAGAAGGGGGAGGAAGGGGCCTCGGGGGTGGGGGCGGGGGCGCGCTCGGAACGGTCCCCCGGTTCGGCGAAGCCCCGCGCCCGCCGCGCCGAGGGGCCCGGGAGCCCGGGGAGCGCGCGCGGACCCCGTCAGACGGCGCCGCCCGCTCCCGCCGCAGCTGCCACCCGATGAGCGGCGAGTGCTCGTGCCTGCCGGGCTGGGCCGGCCTGCACTGCAACGAGAGCTGCCCGCAGGACACGCACGGGCCCGGCTGCCAGGAGCACTGCCTCTGTCTCCACGGCGGCGCGTGCCAGCCCGACAGCGGCTTGTGCCGGTGCGCGCCCGGCTACACGGTGAGGCGCGGTGCGGCGAGGACCCGGGGGGGCGAGGCGGAGGGGCCGGGCCGCCCCCTCACAGTCCCCCCGCCTTCAGGGCCCGCACTGCGCCAGCCTCTGCCCCCCCGACACCTATGGAGTCGACTGCAAGGCGCGCTGCTCCTGCGACCACGCCATAGCCTGCTCGCCCGTCGACGGCGCCTGCGTCTGCAAAGAGGGTAATGGGGCGGGGCCTCCGGGGAGGGGCGACTTGGGGGCGGGGCCACGGAGAGAAGGCGGGCCTAAGGGTGGGGGCGGGCCCCGGGCGGGGTGGAGGCTGCAGGGTGAGGGCGGAGCCCCCGGGGAGCAGCTGGACGGTGGGAAAGTAGCCAGGCTACTTCCTTCCTGGAAAATCCACTTTGCTTTTCTTCAGCCACAAAAATCCTACTTGTGCTTAAAGGCCCAGGTCAGAAGGCACGTCTCGGGCGAGCATCCCTCTCCCTCAGTCATCTAGAACCACGCACTGGCAGGGCCAGGAAGGGCTTCTGAGATCCACCCGGGTGGCCCGTTGGCAACCTTTAGACTGCGTTCTGACACGGATGTGTTGTATTTGGCTGGTTCTCGGTGTTGTGTAACCCACCTCCGGTCTCCAGTCCCCACTCCTCCCTGTAGTCTTACACATGATCTGCACATTTAGTTACCTGGTTTGGGGTTTGCTCTAAGGGTTTGCGTTTGCTGCCAAGCCCCCCCATTCTGCAGGAGAGGCAGGCCCCAGAAGGGAGGGGTGCACCAGCAGCCCCGGAGCGTGTTACCGGTGTACATGCTTGCCTCCTGCGTGGGCCACGAGCATCTGCACTCCCACCCCCAGTTCACGGCACAGAGCCTGGCACAGTTGATGCCGCGTGTGTGCTTGCTCGGGAGGGGGGCTGGATCCCCATGCCTCTCTGTGGGGCCCCTCTTCCAGGTTGGCAACGTGGTAACTGCTCCGTGCCCTGCTCCCCCGGAACCTGGGGCTTCAGTTGCAATGCTAGCTGCCAGTGTGCCCACGAGGCAGCCTGCAGCCCCCAAACTGGAGCCTGTACCTGCACCCCTGGGTGGCATGGGGCCCACTGCCAGCTCCCCTGCCCGGTAAGTGCTCAACAGCCTGTCTGCCCAGGGGAGGGCGGGTCACAACGATCCCCCCAGCTGACTGGCCTGCCCCGCCCTCCACTCCCTCTCCAAGAAGGGGCAGTTTGGTGAAGGCTGTGCCAGCCGCTGTGAGTGTGACCACTCTGACGGCTGCGACCCTGTTCGTGGACACTGCCGGTGCCAGGCTGGCTGGACGGGTGAGCATCAAGTTGTCCCGGCCCCAGGCCCCCCACAGCTGGGATGGATCCCACAGGAAAAGTGTCCAGAAGAGCCCCTGTGGCCGTGGGGGGGTGCCAGCCAGGCTCACCCTACCCTTCTGTCCCACAGGGACCCGCTGCCACCTGCCTTGCCCCAACGGCTTCTGGGGAGCCAACTGTAGTAAGAGCTGTACCTGCAAGAATGGGGGCACCTGCGTCCCCGAGAACGGCAATTGCGTGTGCGCCCCCGGATTCCGAGGCCCCTCCTGCCAGAGATGTGAGGCTCCCTCTCCTTCCCCCCACTCGCCAGCAGGAGGGTACAGGGCAATGTCAGATGCCAGAAGCCCCCCACTGCCCCTCGTGGTGTCTTCTGCAGCGGGAAGGAGGGAGGGAGGGAGCTAGTGGGGTCAAGGGCTGAGCGAGGGGTGGTCCCTGCCCCCAGTCACCACTGACCTCTTTCCCCCAGCCTGCCAGCCCGGCCGCTATGGCAAACGCTGTGTGCCCTGCAAGTGTGCCAACCACTCCTCCTGCCACCCCTCGGATGGGACCTGCTACTGTCTGGCCGGCTGGACAGGCCCCGATTGCTCCCAGCGTATGTGGCGGCTTGTGTGCGAGAGCGCATGCGTGCTGAGAGCTGGGCTGAGGACCAGAGGCTTCCGTGCGGCCGCTCCCGGGGGTGAAAGCCTCCCGGCCCACTTTGATTCAGTAGTTTATATAAACAATACGGACACTATATAATGACTCAGGTGCTCGGGGTGCAGCTCGGGACTTGCAGAAGACAAGTCCCCTGACCCTTCTGCAGGGCGGCCTGGGAAGGGCATTTTTGTCCGGGCATGGGGGGGGGGGACGCCTAAGCTTGGTTTTGGACATGTTCTTTCTTTGCTTCTAAGGTTTTCAATTTATATTTATTTATATGTGGCTTCTTCCCCCCATAAATATATAAAGAACATCACGGAACAGATTAGTCCAAAAAACCAAGTACGGCAAGTGTTAGAAAGATGAAATAAGAGGCGGTGACCCAGAAGCTGGGTGTGGGCTCGGTGGCGGCGGTCGAGGGGCGTGATGGAGGGGAGCGTCCCCATAGAATTCGGTCCCGGCTACCGTTACAATTATTTGCTAATGTCAGGCACACAGAAATTATACCTCAAATAGTATGGACGCTTACTTCTGTCTTAGGTTAAAGAGAAAAAAAGAATCCAGAGCTAAGCAATGCAGGGTAGTAATGGTGCCCTTTGCGTGTCTGGCCCTGGGCGCCCCATCTTGATATGGCTATTAGATAACCAAGCGCAGGTTCAAGTGGGCAGCTGGGCATGTGATAAACATCTGTGAGTCATCTGTGGGCAGCTCTGGTTCAAAACCTTGGTGTCCCAGGGAGACCAAGGCTGAGCAGATTCAATGAGGCTGGGGGCTGAGCATTCGTCCAGCGGGGGCCGGCCCTGCCCCGCCAGACAGCCATTTGTCCCCTGCAGCATGCCCTCTAGGACACTGGGGAGCCAATTGTGCCCAGCCCTGCCAGTGCCAGCATGGAGGCACCTGCCACCCCCAGGATGGGAGCTGTTTCTGCCCCCCAGGCTGGACTGGACACCTCTGCTTGGAAGGTACCCACAGAAGGGGGACTCATGCCCCGCCCCCCAGCCCAAGGAGGAGACTGCAGCTTTTGGCCCCTCACCCCACCTGCCTCCTTGCCTCCCTCCCAGGCTGCTCTCCCGGGACGTTCGGAGCCAACTGCTCCCAGCCATGCCAATGCGGTCCTGGAGAGAGGTGCCACCCGGAGACTGGGGCCTGTGTGTGCTCCCCAGAGGACAGCGGTGCACCCTGCAGGATTGGTGAGTTCTTCTCTAGGCCCCCGTTGTCCCCAGGGCACCAGGACCCAGACCCCTCATACTCCCGGCCTCCCTACTGGGGCTTCTCCTGTGCGTGCGCCCCACGCGTGGCAGCAGAGCCGGGACATGCCGGGTGGCCACCCTGTCCCCCTAGGAAACCAGGAGCCCTTCACCATGATGCCTACCTCTCCGGTGACCTATAACTCGCTGGGGGCAGTGATTGGCATCGCAGTGCTGGGGTCCCTGGTGGTGGCCCTGCTGGCGCTGTTCGTTGGCTACCGCCATTGGCAAAAAGGCAAAGAACATCAACACCTGACGGTGGCCTACAGCGGCGGGCGCCTGGACAGCTCCGAGTACGTCATCCCAGGTGAGCCGGCCTGGGGGGTGGGGGGGGGGGCAGGGCTCCTGTGTCCCCACTCCGGACCTGGAAGATGGGAAGTGGGGCGCTGGAGGGGAGAGGCGAGGTCAGAGAGGCTGGTTACTGACCTGCTGGGACAGAGCAGCTCTCCTGGGCCAGGGCCTCCGTCTGACCGGCCAGGTCACCACGCGCCTGTGTCTGCCCATGCAGATGTCCCCCCGAGCTACAGCCACTACTACTCCAACCCCAGCTACCACACCCTGTCACAGTGCTCCCCGAACCCCCCGCCCCCTAACAAGGTCAGTGCCGGCGGGGTGGGGGGCGCTGCAGAGGGGTGGGCACAGACTTGGTTCTCTGGGAGGCTCCATCCTGACATGCTACTCTCCCACGCCCCCTCCCCCCGTTAGGTTCCAGGCAGTCAGCTGTTCACTAGCCTCCAGGTCCCCGAGCGGCCAGGGGGTGTGCATGGCCTGGATAACCACAGCACCCTGCCTGCTGACTGGAAGCACCGCCGGGAGCCCCCACCAGGGCCTCTGGACAGGGGTAGGAGCCTGGAGGCCGAGGCCTCTGGTGGGGGTGGCCATGTGCAGGCCGGCATCCTGTTCCATCTGAGCATGGGGGGCTCCAGTTCCAGAGGAGGTGGGAGCCTGACTGCTCACTGCCCCACTCCCCTCCCTCCTGCTCAGGTAGCGGCCGCCTGGACCGAAGCTACAGCCCCGGCTCCAGCAGCCACGGAGGCCCAGGCCCGTTCTCTAGCAAAGGCACGGGCAGAGCGGCGAGGGAGCGGGCTGAGCTGGGGGCTACGAGCCAGGGCCCCCACGGAGCCTGACTTCCTTCCTCTGTCCTTAGGGCCCATCTCTGAGGAGGGGCTGGGGGCCAGCCTGGCTTCCCTGAGCAGCGAAAACCCCTACGCCACCATCCGGGACCTGCCCAGCCTCCTAGGGAGCCCCCGGGAGAGCAGCTATGTGGAGATGAAAGGCCCTCCCTCAGGGTCCCCCCCCAGGCAGCCCGCTCAGCTCTGGGACAGCCAGAGGCGGCGCCGCCCCCAGCCACAGAGAGACAGTGGCACCTATGAACAGCCCAGCTCTCTGACCTATGGTGAGCCCCCCTTCTCCGCTGGGGCAGGGCTAATGGTGGCCAGGACAGGGAGGGGGAGGAAGGGTCAGAGGGAGAGAGAGCAGGGGTGGCATGGCGTGGCAGCAAGAGCATGGGCTCTGGACTCAGACTTGGGCTCACACCAGGCACGATGTTTGGGAAATCACCTTGCCTCTCAGAGCCCGTGAGCAGTGTACCTACCTCACAGGGCTGAGGACTTGAAATGGTGGTCGCACAGCACCTGACTGGTGGAGTTGGTACCCAGAAAAGAGGGGAATAAGGTTGGTGACGAGGTCAGGGTGGCCTTGGAGGAGGCCACTGGCAGCGGAGGAGGGACGCACATCCTTCTGGCTGGGGGCAGGAGGGGCTGCGGTCGGGAGGAGGGTGGAGGAGCCACCTCCCATCCTGTCCCCTCTCTGTCCCCAGACCGAGCCTCTGTGGGCTCCCAGCCCCCACTGCCTCCGGGCCTGCCCCCTGGCCACTACGACTCACCCAAGAACAGCCACATCCCGGGACACTATGACTTGCCTCCAGTACGGCACCCCCCGTCACCCCCGCTCCGGCGCCAGGACCGCTGAGGGGTCAGGATGGCATGCAGGGACCAGCATACCCGTTCTTTGCTGCCCGAGGTTGGGGACAGAGCCTGCTGTACCCTGCCAGGAGCAGGGAGAGGACCGGCAGACCGTGAACATGAGCACGTTTACTAGAGGAAGTGAATGTGGAGGGGACAGGGCCTGGCTCCCAGCTTCCAGCGTGGGAGACCCTGGTCAGCAGGAAGCCCGCGTTCCCTTTCATCCATGTTCCAACCTGCTGCTCCCCAAGGCCCCAGGGCCCTTGTGCATAAACTGGTGGGATGAATGTTGCTAGAAAAATCTGATTTCAGATTAATGTCAAAAATGTACATTGGGTTCCTTTTCTGTGCACTCCCAGGCTGGGCTGTGTGTGTGTGTGTGTGTGTAGCTTCAGAGGGCTTCGAGGCACACAGCCTGTCCTGGGGCACTCACTGTGTAGTCGAGAGGCAGCCCAAACCAGTTAACTCTAGCAGCAGCCTCACCGGCCCCCCTGCATCCACTTGGTACCTGCTCCAACCAACGGCTCAGAATACAAGGTGGTTAGCTGACCTCCGTCTGAAAGTCTTCATGGGCGCCCCATGGCTCTTGGGCCAGAGTCAAAACTGTCAGAGGCCTTAGGGGCTCTGCTGGCCTGGCCTATCTCTTCAGCCTCACCTGGAACTGTGTTCACTGTCACTCCGTTTCAGTCACCCTGGGCTCCAGGTCCTACCAGCCACGCTTCTTCCTACCACAGGGACTTTGCATGTCCATCCTCTTCTCTTCCACTCACCTGTTCACTGCTGTTTGTCCTTCACATCCTCTCTTCATGGAAGTGCCTCTCTTGCATTGCACGGATTACAGCTGTGTGCGTTCACTGGATACCTGGAGAAGGCCTTCAGAGTACCAGCTCTCTCTGGAATGTGTTGTTTCTTTATGTGATCATTTGATTAATCTCTGCCTCCCGCACCAGACTGTGGGTTCCCCCAAGGCAGTTACCATGTATTGTACTCAACATTGGTTCCCCTTGGCACACAGTGGGCACTCAATAAACGTTCCCCAAAAGGCTGAATGGCTGAGTGAGCTGAAAGTACCAGGGATTAAGTGTTAGTAGGTGCTCAGGTGCGGGCGAACCGTGCGCTCTGAGCTCATAGCCTGCGTAAAGTCCCGCTTCCCCGAGGAGCCGCCTGTCTACAGGGCAGCATCACAAAGGCTCAAAGACCCGCAGGTGCTGGGAGCCGCAGTGGGGGAGCACAACCCTGGGCAGGCTGCCGCGGCTGGGGCGGGAAGGCAGGCGGGAGAGGGGCTACTCAAATGGGGGCCCGCCGGTGTGGAACCGACAGGGTCTACACCGCCCGAGGACACTGAATCCGGATCCACTACCACACCTCCCAGAGGCTAACTAGATAGGTCGAGAATAGAAACCCAGTGCCGCGCCTTTTCCATCAGGAGCCCTCTCCTTACAGGACAGGAGGGAGAACCCCAGAAAGTGGATCTGCCCCCACCGACTCTCCCTGCCTAGATCCTTCCGACTGCCGCGATCCCTAACATGCTCCCGGCTCTCCAGAGCGCCGCTTCCCGGGTGGATTTAGAGGGCGCCTGGTCCCGCTCCTCCCTCGCGCTCTCTCCTTGGCTCCGCCCCCGGGCTGCTCCGCCGCCGACCGTGGCTTCGCCCCCGAGCCCCCGGCCGTGGCCCGCCTGGTGGCCCGCGGTGGCTCTGCGGCGCTCCCAGGCTCCCCCACCCCGCCCCAGCTTTGGCTCCGCCTCCGGGTTCCCCCCACCCCGGCTGTGGCTCCGCCCCCGGCTCTGGTTCTGCGGCGCTCCCAGGTTCTCCCGCCCCCCGTCCCGGCTGTGGCTCCGCCCTCGGCTGTGGCTCCGCCCCCGGGCTCCCAGCCCTCTGCTGTGGCTCTGCGGCGCCCCCGGGTGGCCCCGCGCGCTCTGCGGTTGCTCCCGCCGGCCAGCCCGCCGCGCACGGTTGTCGTGGAGAGGGACGCGGAGGCGGGCCACTGCGGGTGGGGCGAGCGGTGGCCGCGGAGTAGAGACCCCTACGGTTCGGCCGTCGCCTGGGCGAGCCCCAACGGAGTCCTGTCTCGCCTCCTCGCCGGGTGAGCCGTCCCAGAGTCGCTGCGGACCGCGCCGGCATGTCGGGCGAGGCGAGTGCGCCCGGGGCCTCCCCCAGGGCCCCGCGTCCCGGGACCCAGAAGTCGTCCGGCTCAGTGACCAAGAAGGGGGATCGCGGGGCCAAGGAGAAGCCGGCCACCGTCCTGCAGCCGGTGGGCGAGGAGGAGCCCAAAAACCCTGGTAGGCGGGCGGCGGGGCTCTGCGTGCGCTCGGCTTTGCCAGGGCGGGTGGGCGCCGTCGTGGTGCCGGGCGCTGCACTGGTCGTGCGGGAAGACGCTCTGGTGCGCGCGACAGCCGAGCGGGGGGAGAACCGTAGCATCTCCGGTGCTAAGGAGCGTTGTGTTCAGCAAGTGCACGTACCCAGCTCTTGGCACTTGGCGGGGTGTTCTGCGTGCTAACCGTTATTAGCAGTGCGGCCTTGGGCACCCTCCTTCTCTGTAGTACGGGGATGTGAGGAGCGGTGGAGTGGACCGCGGGAAAGTGTTTCGTAAACTGCGATTCCTTTGTTCCTCCACAAGCATACGTTGTGCACCCGTGCGACCAGCTCTCTACTCCATCTCGGAATACAAATCCCAGTACTCTCAGCCCAGCTCCTGGAACTCAGCTTGGCAGATGTTTGAATTGAACTTGATCCTTAGAGAACCCACACTGTGGTTTGGGATGGTGACAAATGCCATAAGATGTGATAAGATGTATGAGAGAAGAGGGCCCAGGGAGTGATAGGAGGTCGCGGGGGAGGGGAGAGGAGGAGGGAACCCACCAGGCGGTGACTTTGAGTTTCATTCACTCATTCATCCAACAATTACTTTTTGGATACAGAGAGAACAATATGCACACAGTCCTTTTACGTTTTCTGGGAAAAGAAAACCACGGCACAGTACAAGTAAGCATGTGGCTCTGTATGTTGCAAGTGACAGAACCCCAACCCAAACAGATGATACATGAAGGGGAATTTATTGGAATTGGAATTTATTATTATTATTATTTTTAAGTAGGCTCCACACCCAACAAAGGGCTCAAACTCATGACCCTGAGATCGAGAGTCGCATGCTCTACCAACCGAGCCAGCCAGGAGCCCCGTTTGGAAGTCGTCTGGATTCAAATCCATCTGCTTTGGGAGGGACAGGGGCTTGCTGTCCCTGGACTCATGGGAAACAGACTTGGGGGGAGGCTCTGATTGTCAGACCTCGGACAGGTGCCAGTCTCCACACACCGCTCTGTATGGACCATGGCGTGGAAGCGGAGAGAATGAGGCAGGGAGGTGGAGTATGAGGCATTTCAACAGGCCAGATGGGTAGTTGGAATTGAGCAGCGAGGGAGAATGGATTAGGCTTCCTGGAAAAATACTTCCCAAGTAGAAGTAATAAGAATTGGTGGTCTCGGCTGGGGTGGAAAGAGAAGGACATAGCAAGAAGGATTCCCAGGTTCCAGGAGGCGGCCTGAGGTGCCATTCAACGCAGACGCGAAAGCCTGGAGGAAGGGCGTGTGAGAGAAGACCTTCGAGGGGGGATGTCGGCTGGACAGCTGGACACTGGGGTCTGGAGCCCTCAAGAGAGGGCAGGGCTGGAGATGTCACTTTGGGAGCTGATGTCCGGGTGTATTGAAGGCCTGGGAAGGAAAGAGATTCCCCTGGGGCAGGAGGGAGTGTAACCAGAGGGCGCAGAGCACTCAGGACCCAGCCTAGAGCTATTAGGGGAGGCGCAGCAGGCAGGGAAGTCCAGCTGGCCGGCCGACAGGTGGGAGAGAATGGGGGTGACCACTGCCCAGGACGCTGGGCAGGGCAACACGGCGGTCAGGGCGGCGCTGCGTGCAGCGCGGCAGGTGCAGGGCTCAGAGCGTGATGGCGGCAGTAGGAAGGTTTTAGGAAGGTTTACGGGTTTAGAGGAAATCCCACCTGCGGGCTTCTGTTTCTCAAGAAGTGCAAAGGCAAGGTCAGTAGTGAGAGTGGGGAGGGAGTGTGCGAGGCGGGGAGCAGGAGCAAGGCCCTTCCGGAGCGGCGCCGTCCCCCAGGTAACCGCTCGCTAAAGCGCAGACGCGGAGGCGGAGCGAGTCGGGCGGGCGGCGAGGTTCAGGCAGGCAGCGCGCTTCTGGAGCCGCGGCGGCCCTCAAGGTGCTGGCCAGGAGCTTTGGCATCGCCGTGAGCTTGTTAGAAATGCAACTCCCCGGTCTGCACCGGGTCGGTGGAATCAGGGTCCCTGCGGGGGGCGGGGGGGGGGGACAGGAAACTGACTGGTTCTCCCGGTTGTTCAAGCTTGAGAAGGTCTGTTGTAGAGAAAGGTGGCGTGGGTGAAGCGGGAAGGGTTGAGGGGCTCCCGCAGGAGGGGGAGCAGCGCCGGCGGGCAGGCCGTGTGCCCGACGCAGCTGTGCGACGGGGTTACGGCGGGGCCTGTCCAGGGAGCTAACGTGTCTTGTGTGTCGCGCTCCCTCTGATGGCTGGGCGCACGAGGAACGCACCTCTCGCTCCTTTGCCACGAGAACCCTCCAACCTCTCATGTCTTGTCCCCACGAACGCCGAGCCCCTGTGCTTCCAGGCCATCTCCCGCCTCCGGGCAGGCTACCTGCTGCCCCGGCGGCCGGCCGGGTGGGAGTGACGGTGCTGTGGGGGCTCCAGGCTGCCCGGCCCTTGGAAGAGCAGGCTGGCGCCAGGCCAACCCTTCTGCCTGCAGATTCCCCCACGGGCCGGGGACACGCCTTCCCGTCTCCAGGAGCTGCTTCTTCCTGGGATGCCCCTGGGGAAGCAGAACCGAGCAGGGGCCTCTGGGGACTCACTCAGTTCTGCACAGCCCTCGGGATGGGATGTGGCGGGCGCCTGTCTGAATTAGTGTAACTCTTGAATGAATTGATTGTTTCTATAGCATTTAGAACAGTGCGGGGCAGGAGTAAGTGCTATATACTGGTTTGCTGAGTAAATAAAAGCCGGAGGCTCTCCGGGAGCTCGGTGTCCCAAGTGGGGTGCGGGGTGGGGGTGGGGGGCTGGGACTGGAGAGATGCTCCTGGGTTCCTGCCTTTGCTCACAGCAGGCCTGGGCTTCTTTCCCCCCGTGACCCCGGGCCGTCCCAGCGAACCAGGGGCACGGGAGGAGGCTGGGCGGGGGACGCTGTGGGAGGCGCAGGCCCCCGGGGGGCCGGCCGCGGAAGG